ATTTACTTTTTTTTTTCTTTTTTTGGTACCGGGGATCAAACTCGGGACCTTGCGCTTTTGAGGCAGGCGCCGGAACCACTGAGCTAAATCCCCAGCCCTAGTTGTGGTTTCTTACAGAAATCTCTCCTGGGCCTTTCTGAGCTGATCCAGTCCAAAGCAATCCCCCTTTCATCTGCTAACCAGGGGTCGTGGGGACCACACCTCATCCTCATTCTGGGAAATGCCTTCACCTCTCTTCTGTGTGGGGTCTTACTTCTTTACTTCTTTACCCACGTTGACTTCTTTATAGCTTTATGCCTTTATTTGGGGAGGATCATATTTTTGAGTTGTTCTGTGAGAAAGAATGATTGGGGATAAATATTTTTGACAGTTTGAGTATCAGAAAATGTTTTTCTCCTGTCATCACAATTAATCCATAGTTTGGTTGGGTGTAAAAGTTATTGTTTCTGAATTTGAAAGCATTCCATTGTTCTGCTGTATTCTAGCTTCCACAGTTGCTGTTGCGAACTCTAAAATCCATTCTGATTCTTTATTCTTTGTATATACTTCTCCCCTCACACTCCCCGAAACTCCAGATTTTGTCCTTATTTCCATTGGTGTGAAATCTGAGGTACACTGTATGTTGGAGATGTGGTGGGGTCCTTTTGACCTGAAAATTTATATCTTTCACTTCTAAAAATGTGCTTACATATTTAATTGATGATTTTTCCCTTTATTCACTCTTTTTTTGAACCTACTTGGTTGTTCCTAAATTTTATTGTCTTTTCCCACTTATTTTCTCTCTGTATCACTTTCCTATACTTCCTATCAAAATTTTCTACTTTACTTTTCTAACCCGTCTGTTGTTTCATTTTATTTCTGCTCTTAAAATTTTAATATTCAAAGCTTCTTTTTGTTTTCTTAAAATTAAGACGCTTCTTTTGCTTTTATCAGGTTCTCTCATAGAACTCTCTCTTAGAGGCATACCTGAGTTCTGTAATGTTCTTGTTCAGCTTGAGTAGATAGCATAGATAAGAGATGAAAACCCTAAGTTCCGCTGTCTAGAGCACTCTGTCTAGAGCAATCTGGCTGTCATTTCATTTTGGGAACCCACAATCATAGCATCTTTAGCTCTCTGTTGTCAGGCTGGTGAGACGATCCAGAGATAACTGGGAGGTTGGTGATAGGGATGAGAATGGAACAGCTGGGCCTCCAGAGATGCCCCTGTCATTCAGAATGGTCTTTTTATATAGTGACCACACTGCAGCTGGACTACTGCTTTGTCTTTTTTAGGACTAATGTTGGAAGTTAAATGGGATCATTTTCATCTGTTCCGTCCAACATTGTACTAATTGTGGCTGTCATAAAGGTCCACGCAGGGGGTGTGGGCTCTGGTTCTATCCCAAGCACTGCAAGCAAAACACATCACAAAACAACAACCATCAAGACCCACCTAGTTTTGAGAATTAAGCACATAGACTCCACCTCTTGTGAGAAGCACATCAAAGAAAACTGCTAATTTGGCACTAACACAGATCCTTCATTGCTTTATATTTTTTTCCCCTTTCTACTACATCACCCTCCATGTAGGAAGTCCTACTGCTATTAATTCCTGAGCCTTTCTTCCAATACTTTATTGTTAATTTTTCTCTTTTGTTCTTTTATTTAAGCTTGAAACTTTAAAAAAAAATTCCAGGCCCGGGTATTTAGCTCAGTGGTTTCGCAGCCTGCTGTGCAAGCTCAAGGACCAGAGTTCAATCCCCGGTGCCAACAAAACAAAACCAAAACCAAAAAATAAACACTCCCTTGGTGAAAAAAAAATTTCTATCATTTTTGTGTGGTTTCCAGAAAGGCCAGCTTTATGGAGAGGTTTTAGAGTTGCCCTATTTTTTCAGTTAGAATTATCTTACATTTTCTCAAATGTTCATCACAACTCTAGTACACTTAATATCTAGCATGGTTGTCTATTTGTCTAAAAATATGTTGTTATCTATCATAGGTGCCACGGTTGGTCTCAAGCCTTGGTGAGATTCAGAATCAAATACTAGTAAAAGTTCAAAACCTGAACTTTGTAAAGGAGAACAGTGCCACCTTTATTGAGAGAAAACTTAGTTTTGAAAAGAAGAAGTCCATACAGACTCAGGTGAGTTTAGCGGCATTCATGAAAGGGTACACATCACTTCATTGCCTTGTCCAGATCGTAAAATCATAATGTCTTTTCTATCATTTAATTCTAACATCTTATAATTTATTTATGCTTAAAATGTCAGCTCTATTTCTTCCCTCTCTACTGTGAGTGCCATGAAATCGCTGGTTTGTGTTTCGGTGTTATACATGATTTGTCCCTAAGTTGCCCAAAATGCTCCTTGACACAAGGTAGACCCTTAGCAAATATTTGTTTACTGGGACTTTATAGGGATAAATCACATGTCCCACCCTTTTATTCTCAAGATGACACACATCAGGAGATAAAGTGGTTCTCCCAGTCACTTAGCACCAGAGTTTGACTCCAGCCTAATTTCCTGGTATTTCCCCTGAAAAGATGTCCAAGTATGCAACTCACCAAATCAAATGTTATGTATAAAGTGTTAAATATTCAAGGGATTATCCACAGAACAGCAAAGAGTTAAAATGTTGTTCACCATTAGGAAGGATTTGAACCTTCCTTTCACTCACACTTGAATTTTCTTTCTTTTCTGCGACACTGCCCTCGTGTGCTTACTAGAGAATTTTGCGCTGAATAATGCCATAATTTTCCAGTAGCAGCCTGATCCAAGCCTCCACACTGAAATAAATCTAAATCAATATGTAACTTCTGCATTAAAAGAAAAGGCTCCAGAGGAGAAGTATTTACCAACTTAATGAAGATTTTATCATACATCCGTGCAAACCAAAACTTCTTCCTTTTCCCAGCCAGAAGTGCCAAGACAGACCGAGACTCACCGCTCCCATCTTCTGTCCACGTACAGCGCGGAGGGGCTCTACCAAGCTAAGCGCAAGTGCAATGCTACCCAGGAGCACGACATCGATCTCCTGGAGGGCGAGTTAGTGGCTGTGGTGGAGCAGAAGGACCCCCTGGGGAGTACAAGCAGGTGGCTGGTTGATACGGGAAGTAAGTTTTCCCCGGAACTACCGCTCCTCTTCAGGCGGAGATTTTGTGAGTATACAGTTGGTGAAAAGGATACCCATGACCCTGATTGTTCTTCATTTTCTCTTTTAACTTCCTCCCCAGTTGTTAAAGGATATGTATATTCCTCCTTCCTGAAGCCCTACAATCCAGCAAAAGCACAGAGGGCGGACACGGAGACCAGGCTCTGTGATGATGATTTTGACGACATCAGCTTCTTTGTGTCTTGGAGGCCAGGCAGCGACAGTGTCTCGGGCACTCCAGAAGGCAGCATCAGTGACAGCAGCTCCTCGCTGAGTGGCACTTGTGGGAAGTGTGAAACAAAGGGCTCTGATGTTGATGGTTTTCAAGAGGTAGATGAACAGGTGGGAATTCGAACCTTGGTGTAAACATACCTGGCTGTTTGAATCAGGAAGGAATCTCTAACTGTACTCTGTTTCACCCTAAGTCTTGATGGGAAGCTGCCAGTTTTCTGTGCAGTCATTTACACTCTTTTCCCCAAGTCAGAGCATCAGGTTCAGCCTCAGTGGCTTAACTGGATGACACTTGGGCCACCATCTCTCCCCATCTCACTCTGCTGTGTGAAGGCTTCTTTGACGATCAGCCCTCAATTTTGAAAGCTAATCTGCTTGCCTTTTCCTATGTACTGTTGCGGATCGAACTCAGAACCTTGCACTTGCAAGGCAGGCACGTTGCCACTGAGCTAAATCCCCAGCTCCCGTATACTGTTTTTATCTCTGTCCTTTTGAATGTGACATATCCACCTCCTTGTCAATTTTGTCATTTATGAAGGTTACTTCTTTCAGAATCCAGCTCATAATTAGCAATGAGTCATCCACATGTGGAAAGTTTTGTTACTGCTGGAGGCGGTGGTATGGTGTTTTGTTTCGTTTTGTTTTGTTGACAGTTATTATTTTCCTAAGTTGAAAGTTCCCTGGAAAAATAATATCTGGTGGTATAGTATCTTGTACTTCATAAAGTTTGAGTAAATGAGTGTATAAATGTTGATAGCCAGTTGCTCACTTTGAAACCATAACTAAACATTTTTATCCTCAGTCTTGTGATCTTACTGAAAGATGGACTGAAGACTTATTTTAGGGCTTCTGTGTACTTAAAAATTACAAAGTAGTCCTTTGAAGTTACAGAAAAATTCCTTTAATTAAAATATGTTTTATTACTTTCTCCCGGGTCATTGCAAATAATTTAACAATGTTGTTATAAAAATTTGGAAAGTAAAAGAACAAAGAAACAACAATGAAAATCACCTCTCATCCCACCATTCAAAGACATTAGCTAGCATTTAAGAATAAATTGTTCATCTAATTTTATATTTTTTTGTTTACTACTTCATCATAAGTATTTTGCAAGTTATTAATATCAGAAACACCATTTTAATGGCTACACATTTCTTTAGTGTGAGGGTCTAGAATTTATTCCCCTCTTTTGCTAAAACTTTAGCATATCCCCACTCCCCTCCCAGTTTTCTTCTTTCATGAAGAGAATTGTCACAAATCATTATGCAAAATATATGCCAGTTTCTTCTTCTATTTCAGCAGAAGAGATTCTTAGAGATACTGATTCAAAAGGAATTAACATTAAAATATCTTAATAGAAACCGCCAAATTGCCTTCGAGCGTGGACAACTTGAACTCCCAGTAGAGTAAGAATGCTTGTTTCCCTCTGTAATCATCTGGGTCATGTTTTAGCAAAATAAATCCAACAGAAAGAGCTTGGTAGGGTGACTTGGAGAAAATAAGAAAACTTTGGCATTGCTTCTGAATGCTTGGAAACCTGTACTGTGTTTCTCTGGGTTTTGGGTTCTGGTTCCAATAATGTCATTTGCTTCCTTGTCTAGATTTTCTATGCAGTTCACGCTTTCCAAGCACGAAGTAACTATGAACTGAGCCTTCAGGAATACCAGAGAGTCCATATTCTTAGATTCTGTGATCTAAGTGGCAATAAAGAGTGGTGGCTAGCCGAAGCTCACGGGCAGAAAGGGTATGTGCCAGCTAACTACCTTGGGAAGATGACTTATGCGTAAGAAAAGCCCGAGACCTTCATTTCCTGGCAAGTCGCTGACTACCTCATAGGACTGACATTCGGAAACTCCCAGCCAGAAAGCAAGAAGCTTCCAAACTACATGAAGTGATACTGTATCAGGTTTGAAGGAACACCATCCTACATAACAGGATGATTTCACAAATATATTATAAATACTAAACTAAACAAACAGCAAAGCCAACACTGCAGGCTCCAACGAGAAACCACTTACAAGTGGAGATCTTTTGAAAGGGTGAATGTTCTTTTATTGTCATAAAAGGCTGGGTCTCAGAATAAGGTTTTTCAATTTACTATAAAATTTTTTTCTTACTATATTGTCTTTGTTTTTCACTTGTACATAAACATGTTTATATATACACACATAATGGAGTGTATACTTTGTATCACATAGATCATATACATACATCTGTGTACCAGAGCATCTACTAAATATACATACAAATAGGAATTAACAGTCCACTAGAAGTCTTTGATGTGGACCTTCTTTAATATAAGCTATGAAGCAAAGGAAAAAAACTGAGTAACATGACACTGTCTGACTGAATGCACATTGCATGACAGACCCTGCTTTAAACGCTTTATATGTAATTAGTCACATATTTAATGCAACCCACAGCCCAAAGAGGTGGAGTAACTTCGCCCAAGTCACACTGCTAGTAAGTGGTAGGGCTGGGAAGTAAGCCTGCGTGTTGTTTCCCGGGGCCACGATCCTAGCCAGGGCCCTGTGCTCGCCCAGGCCTGCACATGTGTTACCTGCAAAGCACTTACGTGCGGATCAGGAGCTGAGGAGGACCATTCATTTTTCTCTCGTGCTCATCTTTAAGTACTTAGAAGTTTTTCAAAATTAAAAGCTATAAGGACTTCCATTTTAGCCTAGAAAAAACCCAAATATTTGTTTAGTGTTTCTAGTTTTATTGTTTTGCTTAACCATTTTGAAAAAATTATTTAAAAACTGTGTTACATGGTTGCTAATGACACTTTAATGAGGAAATATTTTTGGATCCCTCCATCACTGGGATGATGAATGGGGAGTGTGTGTTCTGTATTCAGAGCCAAGGTGTAAATATTTCCGGCTGCTGATTTGGACCTAGGCAAGGCAGGCCTTTGGGATAACATCTGCTGTCACACGATGTCCTGGGGCACTGACCTTTGATTTTAGGCATATTTTCTCACAACACTTTATTGAACTAAAAATGGTTTTCTGCCACAGAAAAGATTAAATTAAAGTTGACTGCAGTGGTTTCTTTTCAAAATCAAATTAAGGTGGACTTTCATTATCCACATAATAGGCTAATATGGAATTAAATTTTAAATTTGTCACTCTATTTGATCCTATAATGTATAATGTTTTATATATATATATATATATATATATATTACTGAGGAACACATACACAAAATGAGTGCTAGGGGTTGAAGGGAGGGCAGGGGAATAGGGAAAAAATAAGAACCAAGATAGATTATGTGAAGGTACAAATTTCCAGTGATGAATGTCATTATATTGTATACGTAAATAGTACCAATAAAATTAATTGAAAAAGGAGTGCTACTTTTCAGAGGGTAGCTCACTTCACACACACACACACACACACACACACACACACACGACATATACAACCACAGAAATTCAGAAGATATTTACATGACAGAAAACTTTGAACTTTATGATATTGTTCTAAGATCATTAATCCAAAAATAGCTTTATAAAATTTTACTGTTGTATAAAAAAGAATTGAGATGTGCTATGCACATGTACTAACTCCCCACGAGGAATGTAATCGTGTGGTGCAAACGTACTGATAAAAAGAAAAAACTGGAGGAAAAATTTTTTTTAAATCTAAGTTATTTTTGCATGAAGCATTTTCCTGCTTTAAGTTGGGCACTAAAAGAGGATTCTTTCTTGTTTTTAGATAGACTTTTATGTCTTTTAACTATCCTTTGTACTCAGATTGAAAATTTAAGCACCAGTTTGCCCAGGGTAAAGCAAAAAGAAATCTAAACTTGCTACTTGTGGAAAATATGACCATGCTCAAAGATCAAAATAACAGAATATATATGCCACAGTACTTCCCACAAAAGTGGAGAATTATACAAATAGCATGGCCCTGCTTTTTAGGCTGACATGACCGGAGTACCTAGGCTTCACCACTGGGGAGGCCCTAGGATGGACACCTCCAGTCTGGACTTTGAAGGGCCCACTCCACCAGAGTCACAGCTGCAGTCGCTGCTGAGCAAGACTGTAATGAAGCCGCTGACTGCCCTTCCGCACTGTGGTGAACATTCGTGACTGCGTAGGCTTTGCATAATACGGGAGCTTCACTTTCTAGATATTTTGCTTAAAAGTTGAAATTATAATTTTGAAGATTGATATTATTTTATTGGGTCCAAGGGAAATAAACTTCCCAGACAGTTGTGAGATGTATAAACCTTTAAGAATTTTAATAGACAGAACTGTTGGTGGCATCAGCATAATTAAGGGAAGGGATGCTAATTTCTTTATGTTCCTTTAAAAATACTTAGAGTAGGATCTTCTGAAGTATTTTGTTTTTAACCAAGAATGAAGGAGAAATTATGTAGCTATTTTATTTTTAAAAGAAATAAGCATATGTATACATTTTATTTAGCCTTACTCTTTGATTCTCTAAGCTAATAGTATATTTAATAAAGTTTAGAAGGTATAAAAATTAATGCAGTTATTCAAAATTACCATGGGTGCTGAAGTCATATGAAAAAGGCACAAAGCCATTACTGAACATTCCGTACATTTCAGAAAAATACCATGAATGTGAAGGTTGAGCACTGCAACAAGATATAATGAACGTTTTTAATCAGAGCAGTGAAGCCCTGTGTGATGTATGTTAAGTGCTGGAATAGTCCATGTCAATCAAAAATGTAACTTGGACTTTTAGAGATATTTATTTGATGAATGTAGCTTGTGTGATTTACAAAAAATAACAGTATTAAAACATGGAATTTAAAACTTCATTTTTCCCATTAACTTCTTGGATCTTTGTCCATTGCAAAAACTCTCAAAGCCATATGAATAAAACAAGAAAAGCTTTATATTCTAATGTTATTTAAACCCCCAATCTTACTTAAATCCTATTTATAATAACTACAGTTCCTAGTGTACTTATGGTATTGCTAAATGTGGAAAATATCTAAAAATCAAGCTAAATAAGACATAAATGTGTATTACAGTGGAGAAGGAAGTAATTTCACTGACAAGAAGAACACTGGACTTTAGGAAAAGATCATTATTTAGAGAATGCTACTGTTTATTAAAAGTAATTTTTTACACTAGCTATAGATATAGGCAAAATTTGTTCTATTTTTTCAGAAAAATAAGACATACTTTAGCAAATACTAGAATGAAATGTTCATGTTCAAAACTCTAGGAAATATATTCTTAGCAAATTAAAATTTGTTTTACTTAAAAATAACATTATGGTATGTAAGTATATTTTTGGTTTTCTCTAATTTTTTATGTACTTTTTATAATTATTGTATTAATAAAATTTTATTGTAAAATGAATTTCCTATATAACCTATGATCATCATAATGTAATTTATAATGTTACTAATAGCACTACCAAATCTTCGGTAAGAGTTGGAATCATTTAATCTTTGACTTATGACGGGGTTATGTTCTGTAAACCTACTATAAGTTGGAATATCCTCAGTTGAAAACGCACGGAGTGCAGCTAAGCTACCGCCCGAGGAGGCTTAGTACAGTGCCCCGTGGCTCAGGGCTAATTCCGCGAATGACTGGGGAGTCGGTGCCTTGCCTGGGAATGCAAGACAGCATCACAGGGCGGAGGGCTGGCTGGGAAAAGATCAAAGGAAGGATACATTCTACTACTGTGCATCACTCTGCACCGCGGAAACACTGCAAGCCAGGCCATTGTAGATCCGGGCACTTCTGTACCAGTTATCATTTTCACCTATGTTTATGAAAGAGGAAAGGAAGGACCACACAGCTAACACTTGAAGACAGGGACTCAAATCAGGTCAACCAGTTTTAAGGTCAGAGTTCAGCGTTTTCCTTCCTTCTCTTTCTTTAATTACTAAAATCTATGGTTAATCTTAACAGGAACCACAATATGCAAAACAGAAAAAGTGATCCTGACCAAACTTTTTGTAAAATGGAACTGAATATTAAATACTGAAAGTTTATTTATGAGCACATCTTCTTATCTCTCCACTCATTCCCTGAGCCAACAAGTACTGAAATCTGCAGATTACAATGCTGTGCAAGACACTCTCTCTCCCTGCACACAACTTACATTCGAGGGGGGACGAACTGTATGCAGCAAAACAAAGTGACAAATCCTATCACCACTGCTCACTTCTCAGCTAACAAGTTGTGCAGATCACTTTGTGATACAGAAAAATTTAGATCTATGAGCTCCTTGAAACAAGCTCTGAATAACAAATATGCCTCTATAAAAATACCAAACCGAGTTACACATGTTATTAGATATGTACATAATTATGTGTACATATTCTAAATGTAAAAAGTCATTTCCACTGACAATTACTCCCTAAAGTCTCTGATGTTTAATAAAATTAAAATAATTGCTTCTCTTCTCAATTCTATGTAGCCCAAATTTTCTGAGATGCAGTTTTTCTTTTCAGATGGTGACGTGCCAACTGTACTAAGCATTATGGATTTAATTTCTTATAAACAGTGAGGTTACATGAATTGTTATAGTTTTTTCAGATAAGCTATGTCAGGTCATCCACAGTTTTGTCCAAACTGGCTCTGAACTATAAACAAACAATGTTGGATTTTATTAGTGTCTTTTTTAGCCTAAAGGGGATTTGAAGATTATGTCAAATTGATGTTTTATCAACAGAAATCTGTGTCTCATAAAAAAATCTTCTGCAGGCAGATTTTAAAAAAACATTTACTCCACATGTAAGTAATGGAATTATCTCAATCTTGGATGCTAATTTACTATGAATAATTTACTGTTATTATTTTACAGAGGAGTTTAAAATAATCTTACCTTAGAAAAAGAACAAGCTTAATTTAAAAGTTTTACCTTCACAGAGAACACTTATCAGTTTATTTTAGAATGTCAGAAAAACTTAGGGATTAAGGAACAGGGCTGGGATTGGTTTATACAGTGAAGATGCATTAGCACACCCCAAGGCTGATAAAACCATGCTATGACCGTTTTATAAATATGAGAGCTTGTTGGATGTATAGTCTGTATGAGGAAATGAGGTATTCACAAATCATCACATGGCTGCTGCATTTTTGTGAATAAACCATTTCTCTCATCTACAAGGCCTCCTGTCTTCAGTCAGAATATACATATAAAACAATGGCAGGCTGATTTGTTAGTTTGTAAGCCAGCTCTGACCCGTACGCTTTCTGTATCAGCCAGGTTTTCTGTTGCTGTAATGAAATCCCTGAGACCGACAATTTGGTAAAGAAAAGAGGGGCATTCAGCTCATAGTCTTGGAAGCTCAAAGTCCAAGGGCCTTGGCTGCATCAGCTTATGGAGTGTGGCATCATGGTCAGACTCACGTGACAGATGCCACAGGGACATTCAGGGGACGGGCTTGGGCTTGTAACGCTGCACTGTGAGAGCTAACTCAGGAGTCCCATGTGAACGTGAACTCTTTATGAGGACAGTGCCCCAGTGACCCAAGCATCTCCCCCACGGTCCCACCACCCCTTACCAGCACCAGAGGGGACTGAGCACAGGAAGCGCTGGGTGACAAGCTGGACCCAAGCCATAAGTGTTTCCTGACTTAAGGGACAAAGCAACCTCAGCCAGTCCTTACACAGGACCTTCTCTGCGAAGTTAGCTGAGATGCGGTGAAATGCTCCAACACTCGGGAGGCAGAATCAGCCTTTTCTTTCATGGTACCGGAAGCTGTGTGCAAAAATACCATAAATTCCCATCCACAAAAACTCTTGGAAATCTTTCTCAACAACTCTCAGGAAAGGGTATGATCAGGATGAGTCAGAACTCGATCACAAAAAAATTCAAAAGAGGTGAAGTAATTGAAGAGGGAGAAGCAATTGGAAAGAGACCGAGCACTGAGAGTGATCACTGAGAATACCGGGTGGGGGATACTGAAAGCCTCATAGTGGGCCGTCCGCCCACCGGCGAGGTACCTTACTCAGCAGGTCAGCTCCTGGGGCTCTGCTACACGAACCACATGTTGTTGTTTTTTTTTTTTTGGTACCAGGGATCAAACTTGGGTTCTTGCACGGCAAAACCACTGAGCTAAATCCCCGGCCCTCATGTGTTTTTATTTAATGTGCATATGCTCACAACCACCTGAAGTTCTCATCAGGAATTAGATTCTAACAATTTTTTTTCACTCACTATGGAAAATATTAGAATAAAAGCATTAAAGACATTTAAGATAAAAGTTTCCATGTCTTGCTAAATAATACTTAACCTTTTAAGGTAAGAGACCCTAAAGATGGATTATCATGATTTTTATTAAATTATGGAATATGGCAGCGCATGTCCTAGAGTAGCTTTTTCATCTCCAGGGTAACATGGCAGAACAACCTACTCGGCCACTTCACTTCTTGAGTTTCTTCTGGGCTGCTTTCTTCTTCACCATCTGTAACCGCTTCATGGCGTTGAGCTGGGACTCCTGTGACGTTGGACCTTTAAGGGAAGCTGCCGGGCTGCTGCTAGCTTCTGAAGTGGTTTTGCCAGTGGAATTTCCATTGGGCCCTGATGAGCCGCTATTTCCATTTCCACTCAGTTGGCTGCTGCTCCCTGGAGCTAAACTAGTGGGACTCGGAAGACCTATTTTGCTGACATTGTCACAACTCACTGAGCGACTAAGGCTAGTTTTGCCCAGGGTCAACGGAGGTGGCGGTTTCAGTGGCACGGTGGGTGAAGTGCTGTTGCCGGACCCGATCTTGGAGCCAAGTCCACCTTTGGATGACGTTGCCAGTCCAGTCAAACCCACGGGCTTCTGGCCAGCTGAGGAGGCGGCAGGCTTCCCACCACTGTTCTGTGTCGTGGAACTCAATTTTGCTGTTGATGGGCCAGCAGAGGACGTTTTAGCTGCAAAAGCTGCCCATCCAGTTAGGCCACTGGTTGCTGAAGAAGAGACACTGGCACTAGAGGAGCTTCCTGAAGTAACAGTGGATGTCTACAAAAAAGGGGAAGTACTGCATTAAAGCCACATCGATACCTACAGTACGTAATATCCTTGAATGTGTACTTGTTACACTTTTTATTCCAAAGTCACAGCTTAGAAAATTTAAGCCATGCTACAAAATTAGGTTCTTCCGACGCTGACCTGAGCTTTTGAAGCTTTTGAAGCTTTTGAAGCTGACGTAGAGAGAAAACTTACGCATAGACAATGGGCGTGTTGCCATTTACAAAGCAGAAGTGTTTGAATGCCACATTTTTGTTTAGAATTGCTTTCAGATTCAGTTAGAAGCCATAAGGCGAAAAAAAATCAGAATTAGTGCTTTAACTTATTTTTTACCAAGAAAAATATTACTTAGCTAAGAAAGGCATCTAATTTATTTAAAAACTCTACACTTAAAGGAAAAAATGCTCACACCCTCATACCCAGGATATTCCAAAGATGTCTGGGATAAAGATTAGCCAATAATAATTTATTGAGTGAATGTATAAAAAAATATACAAAAGAAAACATCTGTATACAGATTCTAAAGCCACATTTGTAAGAAAAAGTCGCTACGAAATTTTGAGCTACAGCACTGCAAAATATACACAGGTGCAAAGTTAGCTAACTGAAAGTATGCAACTCTCAAGATATATTAAAAAGAAAAGATCTCATGAATTAAGATTTACAGTTTGCATGATTCCATTGGAACTATCACATAACAAATTCCTGCTTTCATATAACAGACTTTGTCAGCTGTCTGCAAGGCTGCACAGTGGCATGTTGGATGGGTCTGACTCGCTCCCAAGTGTTTAATGAAAGTGCAGAACATTTTAGTTTCTCCGATTAACTTCCCAACTCAGCCAATCAGAAGCTCGCAGTGATACCAATGCCACTATATACCCATAATGGTCTTATTTACAGGAGAACAATTAGGCAAAAATCTACTTTTTTCAAGTTAATTTAGAATCATACTACTTCCTGACACTATCTTCATAGTTAGTTTCACCCATGAGTAAAGGCTTGTAAAAAAGAACATTCTACTTTTAAAAATGGTTATGATAGGCTTAACATATACCCAGTTGTATTTTAAAACTGAACTCTGAAAGTTTTTAAAACAATGTTAGCTTTTACGAAGAGCCTTGAATATTGTCTGCACGTGAACATCTTTAAGCAACAGAAAAGTAATCAGATCAGAGGCTCTGGGGATCCTTGTTTTATGAGTTCAGATTTTGTTCAAGTGTGCTGAAAATGATAGATTTCTCTCTCTCTATAATAACATCATATGACAACTCTCCAGATTATCCTGATAAGGAAAACTTCACATAAAATAAAAATTCCAGGAGAAAAGCACATGAGTAATGAGAGAAAAAGCTAGAAAAGGAAGCAAAAAAAACCAGGTGCAATAAACTTTTTAATTTTCGGTTTTAAAAGATTTAATTTTTCCCCTTTACTTTCTATTAAACTAAAACTGTCTGCCATATGGCTAAATGTTTTCTCAACAAACTTCACCAAAGAAAACCCATTTGAAGTAATTAAAAAGACCAAAACTTATGAAATATAAACAAGAAAACAGGTTGTATGTGTTTGGCATTTTATTTTAATGGCTTGCTGCTGCCTGGTATTGCCTGATATTTCAACAGAATGACAAATGGTTTATAATACTATTCAGAGACATAGAAGTAAAACAACACAAATATGGAGACCAAGCAATTTCTTACTATTTCAGTGTAGAAAATAAATTTCCCACATATTTTAAACTACAAATTTTTTTTCATTCTAGTTAGAAAGGCATTTGCTTTTTATATGTGAATGGAAATGAAATTTTCTTTTCATACCAAAAATGTATTCATTTTAATCATAAAAACACCAAAACCTCTCGGACAAAATGACAGCTGAGACTTTATGTGCCATAAAGTGATTTCACATTGGACTTCCTAAAAGTAAACATTAGTAGTAACATGGTTACTATAAGAAAAATCCCACACAACATGAGCAAGAATATAGCAACTCTAATTACTTTTCGTAAATTAGTTACTTAATTCTATTTCAATTCCCAAGTTCCTACATGACAAAACAATAATGGATATACTTTGGACACCAACTCTTCTCTGGTTAACTTAAAGAAAAGATCAGTGAACAAAATTATCCAAGTCTTTCTCAGAGTACTATTTATTCACATACTTTTCCAGCACATCAAGGTTCTTGAGCTTGCTACTTACAGCTACTGAGAAAAACTGTCATTAGAATTTTCTGGGGTCAATCTTTGAGAATTCGAGGCTAATGTTTTTTTCAATCTTTAGTACTATGTTTACTGGAACATATAACTCTGCAACAGTATTCTTTTTGTTATAAAACTAGATTAGATAAATATTTTTTGTATAATGTCATAATGCTAAAGTATTAACAATAATGCAGTGATCTGAAGAATGAGAACCTGAACTGAGGAAAATGATGCTCTTGTTGGATGGTATGGTCCCTTAGTATAGGAAGTAGGCAGAATGAAATCTGATGACAGTGAAAGAAAAAAAAAATAAAAGAAGAGAGCGTAAGAAAACTTCTTCAGTAGCCAATAAGGAGGAAAAACGTTAAAAGGCCAAGCAGCATTAAGTAGTCTGAGGAGCAAAATGGCTGCCACTGCAGGAAGAGCTTCAGAATTTAACTCAAATTCCTGATTAAATGAAGATATGATTGTAGATGAAAGCAGAATGAAAAAATAAAACAAGAAGATGCAAGATATATCATGTACAGGTAGATGATGAATGCTATCGTTGCATATATGTAAATGTACCAATAAATGTTTTGCTTCACAAAGAAAGACAGCAGAATGTACCACACCTTGACTTCTGTCCTCTTGAATGCAAGGAAGGTGGTCTCTTGCTTGAGTTTGGTTTCCGGTTTCTTAACCAAGGGATCCTTGACAGCCGGAGCTACAGAAACAGCGGTGGGGGCTGGTTTCTGTGGTGGTTTCTGAGTTTTTTGAGCCTGTAAAAATCAGTGAATTAAATTAGATACAAAGTCTTAACTGAATGTACAAAACATATAATAAAAACTTATCATAGGACCAATCATGGAATGGAGTTGAAAATGTAATAAAATAGAGACTGCTTGACAAGTCATTTCTCATAGTAATATTAATAGTTTTACAGATTTCATTAGTTTCTAAACAGTAATGATAATAGTAACTATTAGAAATCATGCAGATTAGGGTCCATTTTAACAAGATAAACCCAGTTGTTTTTAAAGAAAACTCACAAACTATAACACAGCTTCCCCTGGTTGTGCAGGGGACCATCTCTAGCCTGCCCCCATTCCAAAACCTGTGGCTGCTCAAGTCCCCGACCAAAAATGGTGCAGCATGTGCATATAACCTACACGTGCCCTTCTGTAGCTTTCAATCACTTCTATGTTACGACACCCAATATGATGGAAATGCTATGTAACAATATGCTGTAACTAAAGACAAGGAAAAAAGCCTGTATCTGTTCAGTGCCAAGGCAGTTTTCTCCTCTCCCGCCCAGAGCTGGTCTAATCCCCAGGTGCTGCATGCACACAACAGGGTCACTGTGTGTAGCGCTTTGCCAGTGAGCACTCCTCCCTGTGGAGTGTGTTTCACAGGACTCATTAGAGTCAACCAAACACCTTCTCCTCGGGGCCGGCATGAATCTTAGTTACTGAGGGTGAGTTCAAAACAGCTGAGATAATGTATACAGTTTTAAATACAGAGTGGAAAGGGAAAAATACTTGTAAGTAGAGAATCTTTTTGAAGTTTCCCCTTACTGCACAATTAGATAAACTAAATCCTTAGAGAAAGTTCACAAATACAAATTTCTATGTTATCAAGGAAGGATTTACCCCACTCTTCCTTTACTGAGACAAAGATTAGTTTTATTTTGGTGAATAACTGACTTTTCCTTTATTTTTAACTGACTATATCAGCTCATTTTCCAGTTCTTTCTAGCACTTCACGGCTGGAGAATAAAAGCCGCACACACAGTATGATGCGGTGAGAGCCCGGCTTTCGGAGTCACCAGAAGCAGGTTCAAGCCCAGCTCACCTGTTTCCCCTCCACCACCCGACAAAACACGTAAATCCCAAAGCCTTGCTCTCTTCATCTGCAGAGCGGTGACGGCACCATGTGTCTAACTGGACCACGGGCACGAGCTCCAATCACTGAGAGTGCAGTGCAGGTCTGGCCCATGCCAACTCTGGGTAGACAGGTGCCTTTTAGTCCTCATCATTACTTACAAAAAACAGAAATGGAATGTCGAAGAATCCAGCCTTCCGCGCAGCTATTCCACCGTCAACAATCCTCAGCCATCCAGACAGTACTGCACCAGGGAGCCTGGAGACTGGCCTGACTGTTGATTTCCGGTACTAATCTACAGTTCCTCTTAGCTCACAGTGAGAGCAACAGAATGCAGACAGTGTCCTGTCTCCTCCTCCTCCTCCTGTCACCCTTCCTCTTGCCCTTCTCCTTATTTTTCTTCAGTACTAAGGTTCAATCCCAGCCTTTGCCTAGAGGTCTGTCTCCAGCCCTTTTTTAAATTTTTGAGACAGGATCTCACTGCAGTAAATTGCTAGGTTTCCCAGGCTGGGCTTGAACTTGCGATCCTCCTCTTATTACAATAAGCTAAAAGGTGAGCAGAGAGGAATGCGTATAAGATGGTTTGGTCTTCCGCCATAGAAACATAAATCACACATGCACACTATCTACACAAACATTTAAACAATCAGCTTAAATTATCTGCTTCTCAAAGTATTAATGTCCAAACAGTTAGCTTGAAAGCATTTTATCAATGAAAAAGCATCAAAGACTATGTGAGATGGAGAAAACCAAGACTCCCACCATCCTCTTCATCTGCCGGGTACATCGGGCGCAGTACCACACCAGGCGAGGGTCGTTCACCTCCTTGTCTGTCACCTGGGGCTTGTGGCAGTCCTGGTGGTAGAGGTTATGGCACTCCTGACATTCCACCAGCTGGTTACCAGATGCCACCGTCATCTGTCTAAGGAAAACACACCATCAGATGTCACACTTTCTTGGATAAAAGAATCTAGTTATCGCGGGGTTGTTCTGGTAAAGCTCTGTATAGTAAAGGTAAAAAGAAAGCCAGGAAAACCAAGGAGAATAGTAAAGCCCAACGCAAAGCCAGCATGAGCACTTTGCTGCTCTAAGGCTCATGCCCAGTCATAAATACATCGGCTGCTTTCAGCTTGGCTGTATTGGATTTCTCATCATTTTCCTCCTCCCAGAGGCAGCAGACCTTAACTGCTCGACAGTCTCACGATGCTTTTTCACTATCCCTGTCACGTTCTTTCATGCTAGGTGGACACATGCTCTTCTTTCTTCATCAGGGATGAGTTACCTGAAGGTGTATCTGAGCCTAATTATCTATGGTGCTTAGCACAGGGCTCTGCAGACACAGGGTGTTTGATTAACGTCTCCTTGGCTGAACGGAATGCAGACATACAGCTGTCAGGGAGGTAGAAGTTCCGACAGCACAAAAAGCAATCTCCACAGTCCCAGATTTCATAGTAAGCTGACTGAAGAAGGGCTACTCTTGCTAGTTCTCTCCCCATTAACACTTTACCATTCATTCATAAATGCTAACTTTCATGGAGGATAAAGACTGAAATAACCAAATCTATGTGAAACTGAGAGTCCTGGCCACCGATCCTATTCAGAGGCACATCCTGCTCACAGCACACCAGCTCTCCTCATACAGCCCACAAGGGCCGAGAGCTACTCAGTCCCAGAGCCAGGATTCAACATTTCCATGAGGCAAAGAGCACCCGAGATGGGAATCTTTTTGCTGAGTTAGGCAATGAGAACCATTAACAATTAAAGAGGAGGCCGGGGATTTAGCTCAGTGGTTCTACCACCAGCCTCGCAAGCACAAGGTCCTGAGTTCAATCCCCGGTACCAAAAACAAAAAAAAACCAAAAAAAACAATTAAAGACGAGCCCTGACAGGAAGGAGTTCAAAGTCTAGTTATTTCTGATTTTAAAACTGTATCTTCTACTAAGCAGAATTTTGTTTTTACAATTATGCATCTAAATTTTAAAGCATCACTCAGAATAACTGACATTCCTTTCATTTTTACTATCTTTAGAAAAAGAGTTAATTGTGTTTTAGGAAATATGTAAATTAGTTTTAAAAAGTGCTATGAACAATTCAGAAAAAACCAGCAACACAGACACCTTAAAAAGAAAGATGGGAGTAACTCAGTCTGCTGAATAGATACCTCCGCACTGAGGAATAATGCAATCACCATCCCTCCAGAACCCGAGAATGCAGAAAACATTACAGGGGTGCAGTCAGGGTTGGGGTGCAGCTCAGCAGGGGTGCTTGCCTTGTGTGAACAAAAACTAACAGCAGCCAAACAATAACAAATCCCTAGTCATAGTCAAGCAGATAAAATATTCGATAATTTTCAAGATGTTAAATTGTTATATGGGAGGTTCCTAACACATAATTTATTTCTTTTGCATCCTTCCAAAAGAAAAACAAATTAAGTAAATGCCTCACAACTGCTGAGACTCTTGGTGGGAGGGAGCTGTCTGCTGTTTCTCAGAGAAACCACAGGATCGGCGGCTGGGAGCGACTCACCTACAAACGACACAGGCCAGCCCCATCTCCATGGCGAAGTCATCAGCGCTGGTCTCCTCGAAGCTGGAGAGGTCAGTCATGGCCAGATCCTTGCTGGTCTGGACGGTGATGGGAGAGGACCGCGTCTCTGGTTTCTCCAATCTCGGTTTCTTAGGGATATCAGCTCCTTCAGTGATATCTGTCTTCATCTGTAACAAGTAACCAGTCAGAAAATGATAATCAAAGGAAAACAGCAGAATAAATTATAAGTCACCAAGGGACAGGGTGGACAGTGTGCAATGACCAAGTACGCTCACAGGTGTTTTCAGAGTTTCAGACGATGTGCATATTAAAGATCTACAGAACTGTATTTCATGTATAGTCCCTTACAAACAACTAACAAGAGAGAAGGAAATGAATCAAAACAGCTTACTATATATCTATATTTCTCTCGGTACTCTTCTACCTACTATGGGATATTTGGAAGTTCAGCGAATTTTCTTACATTGTCTTTTTTCCTAACAAGATGCTTTAACTTGAGGAACCACAGCATTAATAAAGCTACTTTTATTTTAAATATTTAAAATTATGAACGACTCTTGAAAATGTTTTGAAAACAAGTAATAATAAGCTCTCTGCCAGTCATCCAGAATTAATACATTGCCATAGTTTCTTCTGCCTTCTTTAAGCTGTAAGTATTTTAGGTACACCTGTTCGATTGGCAAAAATTAAAATCTGGTAAGACTGGGAGGATTTGCAATTCTTATACAATATTTTGTCGGTGAGAATACACATTTAGTATCTCCACTTTGAATAACAACTTAGCAATGCCTAGGAGTGCAGAAGATGAACATACCCTGTTACATGCACTTATGGGTATAAACACCATTACCGTGGACAGAAAAGGATAGGTACAAAGTAGCTCAGACACATGGAAGCTCACTGCAGCCCTACTGCAGTAGACAGAGGAGAAATAACCCAACTGCTCTTCACAGGGGAACAGAGAAACTGGTATATTTACAGAATGCATAGTACACAGCCAAAATAAATCTTTAGATCCACATGCATCAACATAAATTTCAAAAGCACACTGTTAAGTAGAAAAACACTTACCAAAGGACATAAATACATAGCAGGATACCATTTGTATAAATTTAAAAGCACAAAAATAATACTGAGTAGTTTATGAAAGGCTACTACTTAGCAAAAAGATGGAATATATAGGATAATAATATACCTTACCTTCATGGTAAGGGTTACTGAAGATATTTTCTAATGTACTTTTTATTAATTGCTAAAATCTTACTTCATATTTGCAGAACTCATCCAAAATATATTATCCAAGAATTATCTGTGACTCTGTTAAGATGCTGGCCATCAAGTAACAAAGTTCATGTTTAGTCATTTACATCTTTCCTTCAAGACAGGCTCTTGCTATGTAGCTTATGCTGGCTTTGAACTCATTATGTAGCCCAGGCTGGCCTCAAACTCATAGTGACCCTCCTGTCTCAGCCTCCTGAGTGCTGCGGTCTCAGGTGTGCACCACCACATCCAGCTGTTCTTTATTTTAATTTTTTTTGGTTTACATCTTTCCACATTCTATCTTTACTTCCCAACAACCATCCCAACGAGAATCTCTGAGGTACGGATTAGAGTATACGTTTGAAATTACTGCGCACCAAAGGCTTACATATTTGTTGGTCATGCTTCTGTAAATGGTTAATGAAAGTTTGTTTTACTCACTTTTCAAAAAGTCAACTTCTGTGGTTATTTAAGTGTATTTTCTGTGTGATTGTTATGTGCTTATACCTATTATATAAAAGAAGTATGCATAAAACACTTTCTTTCTGCCTATGGAACAACTGATTTGCTTTTTTATAAACTGAATTAAAATAAACTCTTACTTTATCAGCAGGCCTCTTTTCAGCCTCTTTCTTCGCCTTTTCAGTTGGAAGGACTTTGCCATTGTTATTGGCAGGAGGAAGACTGGATGATGTTTTGGGCTCTTGCTTAATAGAAATAGATTTCGTGCTTGAAATTTTGGGTGGCTCCACATCCTAAAGGGTAAAATGATGAGATACCAGTAATTAGACAGTCTACTGAATGAGAACACGTAATGAATGCAAACAATTTTAAGTTAAAAAGCACGATGGCGTGACGTGGGCAGTGTAACACTTTGGCGGCTGCCCTGAGCGGTGACCGGCACACGGCGGTGCCTGTTACAGTGTACAGCTGACCAAGTTCTGACACAGCACCGCTACCGCTGGCCACACTGGATACATCCAGTACCCCGGCTTTCCCTGTGGGCCTGGCACACAGTCTGGGACTCGACACTCTCTGAGCTCCCGATATGAGTAGAACTGGTCATCTGGTCCCACCTTCCGCTTCTCAGAGTGGTATCCACGTGCCCACACCCCAGTGACTTGAGTTTCAGGGTCAGAGGTAGGAGGGCTGGGAAGAATTCTCAGTCAGATAAGAGAGGGGACAGTGAGCACTGCCATAGCTGTAATATGTACGGGTAGACACTACACCAGCTTTTTATACTCTATCTGCAAAGCAGCTCTTCTTATTCTTATTTTGCCAATAAATAAAAGGAGATGGGCATTTCCTTACTGTAAAAGAAAATAAAAAATACCTATATCAAAGTGTATTTGGATCACTTGAAATTAACGATACACATAAACCACTCGGAAAAGCTCATGGTGTACAGTGTTCACATCTTTATCATCATCATTATCATCATGATCACCACTGGCTCCAAGAAGCAGGCTGGGATTTTAAAAAGGTTTCAGGTTGCAAAACATGATTCTTACCACACACAACTTTCTGCCCTTAGCTACTTTATTATCAAGACTAGAGCTACACGGCTCGGATTTCACCCAGACCCCCCTTTCTCTTAAATTATCCCACCCATACTGAATTTACTTTGTTGAAAAGTCTCTTTACTTCATTATTTTTTGTCCTTAAAACATTAGAGAATAATTAAAAGTCATGGTTAAATTCAACAGCTTTAAAAAAATTCTGACCATAAACAGCTGGAAATCGAAGTAAATCATAAAGAAGTTGATTTCTACACAGATCAAGTAGTAGAACAGGATATGGCCCAACCAAGCTAAGTCCGAAGGAAGAAAATTAAAGATCATAACATCTTTGTGCCACAGGAGAGATTATCACCATGCTACTCCTGCAGCACAGTCTCTAGGCTGTCTTATTCGTGCAGGTACCTTCTGAGCTGGACGGTAACTTGAATCACTGCCCCGAGCTAAAGACTCATCCAGCAACGCCTTCAGCTTTTCAGCAGAATCTTTACTCTTTGAATGTAAGAAACCTAGTGCTTTCAGAAAAATAGGATCCAGTTCCAAGTTCACAGTTGCAGCCATTGCAAACTCCTGGGGGAAAAATAAAGCGAGAAGGAAGCAATTTAGAGACAATATGAATTATCTATGTCACAGTTTTATCTACTTTGTTCTTCTGTGTGTACAGTCATAGATAATACTGTGCACACGATACAAAATTTCACATGTCCACAAGGTTATTAAAGATACAAAGGAAACTTCTTTCTCATCCCGCCTGTCATTATCTAGTCTTCTTTTTGTCCTTCCAGAGACAGTTGGATCTTCAGTTTCCTGGGTCCACACCCCGCCAGCTGTTTTCGAAGATGCACACAGCTTCAGCACACACAACCTGACAGTGCGAAGGTCAGGTTTACCACGCACCGCACCGGTTTCTTCTTTCCCACCTTCTTTCCATCACCAAGGCAAAGATTCAGGGCCTGTGAATGTGCTGCTGGGAGGGGTGCAGGAAGTGAGTGACTGGCTGTGCAGCCACTGTGGCAGCTTCGACTTCAACCCTTTCTCTTCCTCCTTAGCCCTCGGCCCGTTGTGAATGTCTCAGAAAACACATCCAAGATAACCTTATGGATCACAGGCAGATGGTGGTATCACATGCATTGACCTATTTTAAAAAGCAAAGGCTCTCGGGGAGGGGTCTACGCCCTCTACAAATATCCCACAGGACCCACAGAGCTCTGTGTCTCAAGAAGCCCAAAGAATAACCAAGACAATGGGTGATGTATATCAAAGGCTTTTGGAATTCGACAACATTACAAAGTTTTCTCTTCAGCTAATACCAATGCTACCAGGTGGCTCTAACTAGTTGTCACTTTTCCAAATACTTCTCCAAGCAAGGAATCATGAAAATAAAAAATATATTCTTTGTATTCAATCTTTTGATCAATATACTACAGTTTGAAATCCTCTTCTGTCCTCGAGGTTAATATTATAATAATGCACACACTTGGAGCGCTACAGTTAAGGATCTGTCGGCAATTCCACAGTAATCTCACGTTTCCAGGGGTTTATAATGTCATTAAAACTTGCTGTAGGTTGAATCTTGGCATGTGAAAGTGCAGGCTGAAAATGGATTGTTTATCCCTTCCCTTCTCATCCCTCTCCACATGTGACAGGATGCACACACTCCCCTAGGCTTATTTTAGGTTTCCAAGAAGGTATTAGTTATCTATTCGATAACCTCAAAATTATTGTCAAATTCTGTTTTTTCTTATAACAAAACTTCCTCAGAGTATCATCTACTTCTGTGCTTTTTTTTTCCCTCCATTCCTTCTACTTTTACTGCAATTCCTACAACTTGGCCTTTGTACCATTATTCTATGCAAACGCTCTCCCAGAGGCAATTCAGTCTTATGTGTCTCTAACAAATACTATTTTCCCCTTCCACTTCTTTCCCAGTCTTTTCTGTAGGCTCCTCTTATCCCAGTGAAAGCAAGGCTGTCCAGGGTACAATCAGGTCTTCTACACCTTCTCCCACAACTGTGCTCCAGACCACACAGTGTCCCCTGAAACAGCGAGGTGTGGACAGAATCTCCACCCCCAGGCCTTCTGCCGGAAACTCGGGGTGGGGCCCAGAATCTGTGTCAGACCTTCAGGCCATTCTGATCCACTCTGCGGTTTAAGACCTACTTCCCTAGATGATGTGATCAAGTCTCTGGCCAGTGATAAATTTATCTCCGCAGCCCGTTTCTCTTCCAAGATCTCCCAGCTGGATGTGGCTATGCCCCGGGGCCACCTGAGGAACATGTTCCCAGCACAGCCACTCACAGCCTGATCTTCCAGCCAGTTCTACCCCTCAAATCTCTGTTTACTGTCTTTACCCCACTCCTCCCGCCAGAGACCTGGGAATTGGCTTTAACTTCCTCCCATCCTCTTTCTACCTCCAATCCACCCAACTTTTCTAATCACTACTAGTTCCACTGAAGACCAGCCTGCCATCACCTATTATCTGGTCCCTGTAACTACTCTTGTTTACCTCGCAATTTTTCCGTATCACTCCTTATTTGAAATACTTTAATCACTGCTAAGGTTAAAGAACAAAATTCCTACCAAGGTCTCCAATGCCCTTAGGATGGTGCTGGCTCAAATGTGTCACGCTGTGGCCACCTGACTAATTTCAAGTCCCTCAGGTATCATACCTTTCTTTCCTCAGTCCTTTAGTAGCAAATGCATTGTACACATCTTAGTCATACTTCAAGTCTCAGGGTTTTTTCTGTGCATTTCCTCAACAGAAGTAGAAGTCTTACTGTTACAGTGGACCCTTGACTTATGAACTAAGTCAGTTCCCAACGGCTGGTTGTAACTAAGTCAGTACCGCTGAGATCTGGATGTTAACTGGGTACATGCTATAGATATCAAGAGGCAGATGAATCTTCCATCAACCTAACTAACCCAAATTGTTCGTATGTCAGGCTGGTTGTAACTTGAGGGCCCATTGTACATGGTCCAAAAGCGTTCACTGGTAATATGCATCACAGTGTTCATTACAGAAATGCTTGTTTGGAATGTAAATGCCATGAGGGTGGGCACTGGATTGGTTTTACCCACTGCTGTATGCCATGTCTACCAGAGTGCCTGGCAAACAGCGGGTACTCAGCAAGTGCAGGCCAACGAAACACATGCTAGCTGCCCTCGCCTCCAGAGGCCTCTTCTTTGAGCTTTGTTGGGCTGCTTTTCCTCTTTGGTCTCTGGTCACTCTCTCTCTGCCCCATCTTTTCATCCCTGCTGTCTCAGTATTGCTCACAGATCTACCCCTACCTATCTTCTTTCGTTCTGTTACCATGTTTTTCCTTGGTAACATTATACACACTATGTTTTCCGCTACAATCTGTAGGCAGATAATTTCACATATGGCCCCACCCTGCTCGAATCCCACTTTTCTAACTGCTTAGTGGACATCTTCACCTGACTGCCCTAGCAGTATCTAAAATTAAGTTATAACTAAAACTGAGATAATGAAGGTTCCCCTGAAACGTTCCCTTTCTTGCACTTTATTTCAGTAAGTAACAAAACTCTCTGTTAATCAGGTCTGAGATCAAAATCGTTTCCTCACTGAGCCTTTCCCTATTCCTTGCATCCAATCACCAGGGCTTTCCTGTGGATTCTGACTCATCAACATTCTCCATACATCTCATTTTTCAATTGCACTGATAGTATTCAAGCTCTCAGTTAGCTTACTTGAATGATACCAATAATCCAGTTATTATCCTTTACTTCAACACTAGTCATATTAATTTTCTGAAATAAAGCTTTCTTTTTTTCATTTTTATTTTCTTGATGAAAAGTTTGAATTCCCATCACTCTCAAAATACACTACAGCCCAAATTTCTTGGCCTAACATTTAAGAAGATTCATTAACTGACATAAACACTACCATTCCTTTCCCAGATATTCTTTACAGCCGAGTGCTTGGTGGGCATAACATTCTTATTTTTTTCTGTCTGAGAAGCCTTTACCCTTCTTTATATTTCCAAATCCTATCAAGATCCAATTCAAATATAAGTTCTTATGAAGATTGAGATACCTACTGTGCTTTTTCACTCCAAATCTTATTAGTAAGCTCTCTCTCCTAGTGCATTTCCTAGTGTTTTTCATGGCATCAAGACTTTCTGTGTTGAACAATACTCTCTTTGCACACCTGTTATACTACTTATAAAACTGAGTACGTTAAGGGCTGGGGAGAGCATCCCACACAGTTCTAACACTTGCTGGTCCATTTCTGCAAAAGGCACAAAAGAAACTCAGCCTCCTACCGCCCAAAAAACCAAACATCAAAAGAGCAAAACAAAAACCACCTGTTTCATGATTGGGAATTTGCACTGTACAATGTTTATAACTACAGTACTCTTTTCTTAATCTTTCACCTGGTTTAAACTCATCAATCCCAGTAAAGCGTAAACTCCTTGCGCAGGGACTTTTGTTGTTGCTGTTCACTGTCATTTTATGAATCCTTGAAATCTGACAGGTACTTAAATTATTTATTGAATGAATGAAAGAGGTTTGTATTTAAATGTCACTCCCAGGGCTTCTGTGGTCTCTCCAACCTAAGTTGGGTATTCATACATAAATACATACATTCCCTTCTATCTCATTTTCCACACTACCTGCCCATCTCAGAATGAGTCTAAAGTCGATCCTCCGCACGTGCCTGAGATAAAGCCACCGGCCAGTGCTCGGACAGTGCGATCTTAGGACTGCCACCTCCTCACAGCTCTGAGAGCTTTCCTCTCCTGTCTCTGCAAGCTTTTGGAATCCTTTCCAATGAACATTCTTTCGAAGTTCCTCCACGGAGTCCCTGGCCCTGGATTATACTGATACCTTAGGGACACGCCCGGAAACGCAGGGCAGGTGATGCGGGCACCGATCCCAACACGAACGGAGAGGCAGAGAAGCCGGAAAGCGACGGGAGGGGACTTCAGGGAAGCGGTGTTAACCCTCCGATCACGGCACGGCCCGACACGAGGGAGGCCCAGCACAGGACGCCAGGGACCAGGGACGAGGGGCGCGGGACGGAGCGGGCTGTGCCCGAGGGAGGAAGAGCAGGACGAGGTTCCGAGCCCGCGTCGCGTGCCCACCCGCGCGTTCCGTCCACGGCACCCTCGGAGGAGGCTCAGTCTTCGCTGACAGTGGGGGGCGGCCGGACGGGGAACCCTCCCAATCACCAGGCAGCGAGGAAGCGAGGAAGCCAGGAGCCCGCGGGCCCCGCGGCTCCTCCCCATCGCGGGACCCGAGCGTCCCAGCGCGCCCGCGAGCACAGCCCCTCACCACTCACCCTTCCGCCCGCCCGCCGGCCGCGCCGGGGCCGCCCCCGAACCGCTCTCCGCGCGCCCGGCTTCAGACACCGGGAAACAAAAGTTCCGGCAGCAGAGCCGAGGGGAACGCCTGGCAGAGCGACAATGGGAAGTGACGCAAAGCACCGACTTCCGGTCCGCCGGATTATGAATGACTGCTGGCGTGTTGTTTGCTACCCGAGCTGCCTGTTTCTCTCTCTAGCGGCTCTGGAAGCCAGGGCTCGGCTGGCAGCAGCTCCCCGGAGGAGCCCCAGATCCCGGCTCGGGCTGGCGGGAGGACCCTCGCGGCCACCGTCGCCCTCCCGCACCCTCCCTGCCTGGCCGCGCTTCTGCGCCCAGGTAAAGAGGGCGCTCGGGCCCGGGTCCTCGGCCCCGCTCCCCCCGGGGACCGCGCTCCCGGCCGGGGCTGCGTCAGGGTGGGGAGGGCTGCGGTCCCTGCTTTGACTTCTCCGGCCTCGCGCTCGCGGCCAGGGCGCCCAGGGCGCCCAGGGTGCCGCTGAGGGGTCGCGCCCTGAGCGGGCCTCAGTTTCCCCGAGCCAGTCTCGCGGCTCCTCAGCAGCTTCTTGTCCTAGGCGCTGTGGGTCGTTTGCACGTCAGTGTAGTTACGAGACCTCTTGGATCACACTTCTTTACTTCTCTCTCCCTTTCTTTCTGACACTTAGATTTCCAGTGCAGCCTCCCTACTTGGAGCAAGCACTTTGTGTGACCGCTGCAAAGGGCTTGCTTCATCTGGGGACGTCTGCTTATGGTACATCATCAAAGCAGTGTTTCTCTAGGGCTATTTACCTATATAGAAATTTCTATATAGAAACGAAAATTTCTCCGGCTTCAGAAATGTTCATTCTTCCACGTACTTTCCCGTCCCAACTCTCCACCTGCTTTTGGAGCTAGGTGACTTAGTATTTTCCTCTTTATTCTTGAATGTCATTCATACATTCTTGAATATCAAGGAAATGCCAACATTTAATAGCATGTCTTGTGTTAACTTATTGATAAAGAAGGTAGTATAGTTCTATAATATTTTTCCAGGCTTATCTATAAAAAATGTTTACAGGAGAAAAGGCAAAAGCTAACAAGAACTAGCGATGTGACAGATTAAAACATGTAAACATGGTCATTTAAATATTATGAAAATAAAACAACTGAGTGATTTACTATCATATTTAATAAACATTGAACTATATTTTTAATTGCCTGATGGGGACCATACACTACTGAGATGATTGATTGCCTTAAGCATACTCATTTCTTGAAACGGTGTTTGAGAATACCTAAAGGTGTGATTTCAGTGGTCTAACTTCAAAAAGGAGAATTCTGGAATTCAAGAATTGTTTTCTTTCATTTTCTTTCTTTTTTTCAACATGTTTGCCTACTCTTAAAAAGGGTCAGCCTTGTACTTCAGAGCCCGTGGTCCATGTCTGTAATCCCAGTAGTAAGGAAGGCTGAGGGAAGAGGAACAAGTTCAGTCCCATAGGGCAGTTTCAAGACACCCAGTCTAAAAAGGCTGGGGGCATAGCTTAGTGGTAGAGGGCCCCTGGGTTTTATCCAGTACTGGGGGGGAAATCTGTTGAACTTTTGTGCCATTGGCCTGTCAAGTTTTGTTTTAAACATATTTGACTTTGTAGCTTTTATATCCTCACCTGTGGTTTGAAATAAGATTATTTAGTATCTACATTGCCTTTCTACTAGCAACAACTTAGCAGACTTTGAAGCAAATTCTGGGTCTTGGCCAACTGACACAACTATAGTGTGTGTTGTTTGTATGCTCATTTACTGTATTCAGTGTAGCCTCCTGAATTCTGTTAGGATTAGTACTTGGAGGCAGAAATTTGAACCGTTTGGATCATAACAAGTCCAGGTGTTGTTTGCTGTGGGAATTTAGTGGATTTTTTTTCAGATGATTTTTCTGCTGATGCTTCTAACGTGAGCATTTCACTCAGTAGATCCCTGTTAATTATGAGGTCGAGGTCGGGCTCAGCTGTGAGCATTATGACTCCATGGCAACAGGATTCCCTGATTCCCCAGAGAGATCACACACTTTTATGACTAAAATTACAGTAAGCTTATTTACTTTGTCTTCCGTTAATTTCTTGCTCAGATAAGAAAACGGCTAATTTTAATCATAAGCTTTTGTCCTCTAGCACTTAATTATATCCTGCATTACATAAGGTAATGAGCTCTGGTGAAGCTCAGTTTTCTGTTTTCTTGTTTGATCTTTAATATTAAGGTTTTGTTTTTAATCTATGTTACTGTAATAGGGTGGGATTTGCAACAAAATAGTTCTGATTAATGAAAAGTATAGAACATGAGCTAAGTTCTAATATTCAAAATGTTGAGCTTATATAGGAGAGAATTTAAAAAGATTTAATCTTTAAGGCAAGTAAGTTTGTAATTTTTCACACTGTGTACATATTTTTTATAAGTGATTAATATGTATGTGGAATCACAAATTTCATATTTATATTCTACTATTTTTTTTATTTCTCTGTTTTCCAGCCTTAGCAAACAGTGTTTTTCGATATTTTAAGGACGGTACTTTTCAGCATGAATCACCTACCTTTTCTGGAAGAAATTAGGAAGTGTAAAGCATGATTTAGATTTTACACTTAAAGTTTGTGTATTTAAAAAATGATCATGGGTAAAGAATTTGGACATAAATCCTAAGTGAATAGTAGAAGCTGAGGATGTACCTGGCTCAATAGCAGAGAGTTTTCCGGGATGTGCAAGGCCTTGGGCTCAGTCCCCGTCACTGTCAAAAATTAAGAATTAAAAACAATAGTAGTGTTTATTTAGGGACTTACTGCGTGGCAGTCATTGTTCTGTTCCCAGAATGCACTGTATGAAGTACTATTTTTATTGTCCTTATTTTATAAGTTAGAAACTTATGGTAGAAGTTTTATAGCAACTGAGAATCAGAACAAGGGTTTGGATTTAGTCTAGCTGAAGAGCCTGGGCTCGTGTCCATTACTTTTTTTTTTTTTTTTTGGTACCAGGGATCAAACTTGGGACCTTGCGCTTTCAAGGCAGGGGCTGGAACCACTGAGCTAAATCCCTGGCCCCCTGTCCATTACTTTACACTTCTTGTATACATATCCACTTGCTATGTAACTATAGAATCTAGGTAAGTTTCCTGTTTCTTTTGGCTGAGTATCAATTCACATAAAATTTTTTATGTTTTCTTTATTTGCAAGTTTGGGTGGATTCCAGTTATACTTTTGCTGAATGAGCTCACAAGATGATCTCATTTCTTCATTTATGTTTACACTTAGTTGGCCCTTAACGTAGATGTATTAATTTGCAAGAGAAAGAATGGTGTCATCAGGGTGAGGCTTATAGCAGGACTAAGATTCTCAAAAGTGCTATTGTCGAGAAAGTGATTATTAGCATTCATTTGTATGTTCATTCATAGTAGGAACTAAACTTTGAGTGCTGCTAAGCATTGGGGAGATAAAACATCAGGTGTCCAGTGCTATGAAGAAAAACCCAGGCGAGAGGCCGGGGAAGGAGGAAGTGCTGTTTCAATTCAGAGGGTCAGGAGAGACTGCTTTCACTGTATCTATGCAGAGAAATCAGTGAGACGAGCAGCCAAGTGACTGTCTTTGCGAAGAGCTTTCTAGGCAGAAGGAAAGGCCAGTGCCAACATCCTCAAGTGGGAGCTGCTGGCATCTCCAGGAACAGCAAGGGGAACTGTGGCTGGGACAGCAGTAGCGGAGGTCGGAAAGGAGGACAGCTGGGCTCGAGTGAGGGCCCACGGGCTATACTGATGCACATGGGCTGTATTCTAAGTCTTCTGGGGAGCCGCTGGGCAGTCCTGAGCAGGGCCAGGATCTGTTTCTAAAGGGTTGCCGAGACCGTTGGAGAATGGACTGCTGTGTGAGGGTGGGAAGCAAACAGGCTTTGGTAGCAGTCCTCTGGAACTAGCAATGCCATAGATTCGGAGCATGGAGGTTCTGAGGGGCCCAACTGAGCCTGTGTGCCCTGGCAGAGCTGGCAGGGCTCTGGAGAAGAGGAGTGGGGCTGGACCTGATGCTCTGTCCAGAGCACCTGGTGAGTGGCTTTGCAGTTTGACCAGGAGCAAGAGCAGGAAAAGAAGGGGAACCAGCTTAGAAAATCTTCCAAGAGGAGATGTCAAGTAGGAGTTTAGGGAGAGCATGTGGCTGAGACACACACAGCATCAGGAGGAGATCACCTTCACGAGGCTTTCATGGGTTAACAGCCAGCGTTTTAAAAGACAGAAGCACAGAGTAAAAATAAGTAGGTTAACCCCTGCAGTAGGCTATTTTCCCTTGACAGTTTTGTTTCCGTTTCATTCAGTACATCTAAAAGTTTGTATCGTATGGCATGATCAGGAGTGTGAAATCCAGTAATCCAAGGATGGAGCGTAGGTTTGGGCAAAAGATAAAGTACTGAGTCAGGTCCCTGAGAGGGCTGAGGAATATCCAGTAGAACTTAATACGGTCCTGAGAATTGTCGAATAGCCCAGCCTTCAGAACAGAGGTTTTTACCAAGAATTGTTGAGACTAGCACCGTTGTGTAAAATAACATGCCTTTCACTTCAGTGAAATCGTTGCTGCTATTGAGTTGTGCTTCAATTTATGAAAGTCTAACTCTAAAAAATACTGGTAGTACTCTTTATACTAAAAAAACCCCAAAAAACTTATTGCTGAGTACTTTCAAAAAAGATCCCTGAATAAATGTAATTAATACTTTATTTTAGTGAAAAAATAATCACTAGCTAATGTTTTGCTACATAACACAGTTTCTGGTTTTTATATAGTGCGTAACTTATCTATTAAGTAACATTTAGCTGCAAAAATCTTGACTTGAATTTTGAGCCCAAATTTTTCAGTTCAACGTGTTCTCCCCCCACCCCCTGCCACCTTCTAAATAAGTATACTTAGCTGGACGTGGTGGTGCATGTCTGTAATCCCACCACTTGGGAGGCTGAGGCAGGAGGATTGCTGCGAGTTCGAGACCAACCTGGGCTATGTAGTGAGTTTGAGGCCAGCCTGGGCTACATAGCAAGACTTGTTCTGTATCTGTGTGTGTGCATGTGTGTGTTTTCACACGAACATGTGTGGAGTGAAGTACACCTACATTAGTAGGTTTTACACTTATACAACTTAAACTCATTTCCCTTTTTCATATATGAAATGTTTTAATTTATCAAAGTCAAGATCACTAATTAAAATGAGAATGCAAAATCACAATGCCTAGATATTAAACCTGTGATCAATGCAACATTGAAACATATCTTTGAAGAAGCCCAAGGAATGAAGCAATGAAGCTTCAGTATTTTCTCTTGACCTGTTTGTTCCTTCTGCAAGATTCCCCACCCTACCCCACCCCCTTTGGCCTGTCCCCGGAGGAGAGGTGCTTGCGGCGAGCTCTGTCCAGGTTCTGAAGTTGGCGGTTTTGTCTGACGCTTCTCACTCTTTTGCAGTGCAGCACCTGCCAAGGCGGAGAGAGCGAAAGATGTCACTTCTGTGCTGGCCAGGACTGTCCTACAGAAGCCCGGAGACCCGGAAGTTATTCCCTAGTTCCTGCCTGCTTAAAGCTCATGGCGTACAATTAATGAACTAAGGGCCTCCTCAGGGTACACAGAGAAGGAAAAAATGGAAGAGGGATTTCTTCCATGATATTCACAGACTTTGAGCAAAAATCACGTTCTCTCTTGAAAAATTAAAGACACAGTGCAAGCCAAAAAAGGTATCAAATGTATACAGCATTAGTAAATACATATTCATTATTTTGAAATTATGTTAATACGTTACAGAGACAAATTGCCTGGGGAATAACTTTATTTAAACTCCAGGATCATTGGATAACATTTGTGAGCTCCCAAGAAAAATGCAGCAACATCTATATTGAAAACAATATATATTAAGAATCAACAGTACTTTGCAATTTTATTAGGCGTATCACTGATTTTTAGCTTTAACCATGGCAGTTCCTGCTGTACTATTTTGTGACATTTAATATTGTGTTCACAGTGAGAGGACTTTATAGAGAATGTGTAAAAGCCAGTTTTTACATTCTTAGGTGCCTTGGAAAATCTTAAGTGCTATAAAATAGCATGGCACTGTTTTATATTTTTTAAAAAGCATTAGCAGAACAGTCTCTTAATTAATATTTCCTAAGCTGCTAGACAGGTGAAGCAGTTGATCATGTTTCCTTTCAAATTTGCCTTCTTGAAGTACGTAGGGATTTTCTTCATTGTAACTCACTGTCAGGAGACTGAGTCAAGAGGATGGTGAATTAATTAGCAATAAATTTCTAGGGGAAACTCTGAAAAGAGACTAAGAATTCCTAGAAAGTGGTTGGTTCCTTTCTCCTGTGAACTTTAATGGATAAATACCAGCTCCAGGTGGCAAGACCAAGACATTAATTAAGCCCAGAGAGAAAATGGTTGCTGTGAGTTAAAAAGTCATTTTTTAAAAATTTATTAAATTCTTTTATTGGTACATTGTAGGTATACAACACAATTACATTTCTCATTGGGAATTTCACCTTTACATGATGCATCTTGGTTCTTATTTTTTCCCCATTCCTAGCCCTCCCTTCACCCCCTCCACCCTTCCCTATTTACAAAGACTTTATTTCCATTTTTTCCATTTCTCATCATTTTTCCTTTCCCTTCTTTCCTTTCCCCTGCCCCTCCCACTTCCCCTACCCCTTTGGACCTTTTCTTCCTATTTTACATTTTCGATTATTCATTCTAATCATTGGTACATTTTAGGTATTCAATATAATGACATTCATCATTGGAAATTTGCACCTTTACACAGTCTCTCTTGGTTCTTATTTTTCACCCTTGCCCAGCCCTCCCTTCAACCCCTCCAGTCCTCCCTATTTACAAAGACTTTGTTCCTATTTTTCCATTTTCTCATATTAATCCCATTCCCTTCTATCCTTTCCCCTAGCCCTCCCACTTCCTTCCCCTTTGCCCCTTTTCTTCCTATTTCACATGACCTATTATACATTTAGTCCTTATTTACACTTTCAGTTTCTCACACCAGAGAAACTATTTGGTATCTATTCATGTGTGTCCTATTTACTCCACTTAAGAGTATTGCCTCAATGTGCATCCACTTAGCTATAAATGTCTCTAATTTCTCATTTTTTATGGCTGAGTAGTACTCCATTTTATAAACAAAACATACTTGCTTTATCCAGTCTCCAGTTGATGGGCATTTGGGCTGTTTCCAAGTTTTAGCTATTACAAACTGTGCTGCTATGAACATGGGCTCACATATATCACCGTGGTGTGATTCTTTTAATTCTTTGGGGAAGATCCCCAGCAGTGGAATAGCGGGGTCAAATGGGACTTCCAGTCCTAGTTCTTTGAGGTATCTCCATACTGATTTCCACAGTGGTTGCATCAGTCTACACTCCCACCAGCAGTGGAGCAGGGTTCCTCTTTCCCCACAGCCCCACCAGCATTTGTTATTGGTTGATTTCATGATAGCAGCCATTCTTTCTGGAGTGAAGTGGAATCTCAGTGTTGTTTTCATTTGCATCTCTTGAATGACCAGTGATGTTGAACATTTTTTCATGTATTTATTTGCTATTTCTACTTCTTTGTCTGAGAAATGTCTGTTCATTTGAGATGCCCATTTTCAGATTGGGTCTTTAAATTTGGGAGGTCTGATCTTTCTAAGTTCTTTATAGATTTGAGATAGTAGACCTTTGTCTGAGGAAGAGCAGGTGAAGATTTTTTCCCACATTGTGGGTTGTCTCTTCACACTGCTGGTGGTTTCTCTTGCTGGGCAGAAGCCTTTTAATAAGAAGAGATCCCACTTGTTGATTGTTTGTGCTAGTTCACGGGCAACTGAGGTTTTGTTCATAAAATCTTTTCCTACACCGATGTCTTCAAGGGTTCTACCTAACCTCTGATCCAACTGGTTCAGAGTTTCTATTTTAATATTTAGATCTTTAATCCATTTTGATTTTAGTTTAGTGCATGGTGAGAGATACAGGTCTAGTTTTAATCTTTGGCAAGTTGAAGCCCAAAAAAAGTCATTGTTTTTAAAAATTTTATGAAATAAATTTTCCTCAGATAATCGTTTTAAAAAGTAATCATTGTAGAAATCTGCTATATTTAATAAAAGAAATATAACAGCAGATGATTATTTCTCTTATCAAGAAGTTTTCAAAGATGGTACTTTCCTAATTGCATTCTTTTTTATAATGGATTATAACCTCTTTAATAACAAACAAGAACCAAGAAGCTTAAATAGTGTTTACTCTTGCTTTTGATTAAAACAACAAAACCCAGAAGAATTTACAGTTTTAAAGGAAATTTAGTATGTTGAAGTTCCCCTAAAAGATATGAGTATACTAACATTTCAGATGCACATCTAAGACAAAATTGCGTACATACTTTTTAAAGGCTTTAACATTTTTTTTCTCTAATGTGCTACCTTCTTGTTACGTATTTCCCTGTGAATGCTTACAAAGAGTGCCATCTAGTGTCAGTTTTGGAATTATGATCCATGGATTGGAACATGGGAAGTATTGGACCCAGGCAATGTTTGACTCAAACATAAAAACATCGTAATAATTGATGAAAGCCTTGAAGGAATAATTTGAGCTCAAGATTGTGTGTGTGTGCATTTTTAAAATAACCACTGTGTGGACTCATCCATGCATTCATTTAACAAGTGCTTCTTTGTTATATACAAATAGAACAGGCCCTGTTTCAGGCATAGCAGTGAACAAAACAAAATAGCCACTCTGATGGAATATTCTGATTGGGAGGGACAAATAATAAAATAAATAGTATGTTACAATATTCAAAAGCGCTGTGCAGAAAAATAAAGCCTAGAAGGGAATGGAAAGATTTTCTTTTTTCCGGAAGGGTGGGCTTGGGGTTTGCAGTATAAAGAAGTAGTCTGGGAAGGTCCCAGTAAGGATTCGCCACTGTGTAAAGCAGCAGTAGAGGTGAGGAGTGTTCTAGGTTCTAGAAAGACCAAGTGGGGAGGGCAGAAGTGGGCGGTACCTAGAGTTTCAGGTAACTAACGTGGTCTACTTTGTGTGTGTGTTGGGGGGGGGCCGGTGAGCAGGGAGCAGTAGGAGAGTTAGTGAGATGCGCTCCAGAGATACAGAAGGAGGCCATTGCCGAAGCTTGGTTTTTTCTGAGTAGGGTGGGAGGAATTGGAGGCTTTGCACATAACAGCGGCATGTCTTCATTTTCAATAGAATCACTGACTGCTGTGTTAAAAATAGACTAAATGGGAAGTGAGGTGGGAAGCAGTGAGGAGGCAATTGCTGTAATGCAGAAGCGGTGGCTGTGGCTTCCATCACAGTGGATGCAGTAGAAGTGGTGTGAAATAATCAGATTCTGAACGTGGATTAAAGATAGAATCAAAAATGCTGTTAATGGACTGATGATGGGGGTATGGAAAATAAAGGTGATTAATGCAGACTGTAAGAAAACAGCAAGGTATGCTCATTTTAAAGTTACTAAGTATAAAACTGCCCCTAAAACTACTTAACTGCACAAGGGGGAGGAGATTTATCTTTTGGAAGCCATTTCTGTCTTGACGGGCAAATTCTTGTAACATCTTTATGGGTCGCAAATTCTTACTGATTTCTAGAATAAGCTAAAATACTCATCTTTTTATCTTCTAGATTGCTAAATTCTAAGGCCTGTAACCACATTGTTTTATGCTTTAGGTGACTCAGTGAAAGAAAATGAAAGGCATTAAGAAAAGTCTTACAGAAGAATACCTATACCTGGACTTTTCTCACCAAACAGAAGGATGCATTCTTCCTCTTCATACATCCGCAACGTTATTTCTGTTATCATACTGTGACTGCAGAATCTTTAAAGTTTGCTTGGTCCTCACCAAAGAAGGCACAGGTAGCTCACCACTAAGAGATGTGCTGTCCCAGGACATTGAAATCCAGGTTGTTTCACGGCGAGAGCTTCCTCCCATAGCACAGAATTGCTGTCTGCCTGCGGTAGTGGAACAGCCAGACAACTTCTGTAGAGCAGGACTTGCTGTTGTGCTGAGACACATAATCCAGAAAGTGCATGAGACAGACCCCTCGAAGAAGGAACTTCTGGAGCTTCTGGGTTTTAAAAAGACTTGTTTGAAAGCCTGTGCTGAAGTAAGTATAAAGCGTCTTCCTTTTCTGTTATTTACAGCTGCAGAGTAATACTAGTTCCCTTGAACAATTATTTTAACTTCCTGTTGGGAATAAAATGTCACTTATTTTTTTAAAGTCCGTAGTAACCAATGAAGTAATTGAGGTAGTCCTCGCCTGTGTCAGTATTTCAGTGTAACACTGAGAAAGAAGAATTGAAGATTTAATTTATGAAGTTTGGAGACCTTCTTAGAGGATGACTTCCTTTTTATGCTTTACTTTATTTACACTGAGGATTTTTAGAGGGCAGAAAGGTTTACGTATAAACAGGAGCTCAAATAGCAATGCTTTGGAAGCCCTGCTTTGTTTTTTTATTTTTAATTTTTTTGTGGGGAGTGGAAATGATTTTGAAGTCGTTGGGAAGTAATGATTTATTCAGCAGGCGGATGCAGAAATGGAAAACCTCCATTGCCTACTATTTTTACTTTAAAGCACTGTAACATGTTTCTTGATATATAGCATAAAAGCTTAGCCCACGGAGATGGTTAGCTCAAGACTCAAATTGCCCAAACCAGTCTTAGTGCCCCATAAGACCATTCTTTCTCTTTAGGCACTTTGAGGTAGAAAATCCTCCCATTCTTGTTTTGTCTTGCAGGTCAGCCAGTGGACCAGGCTGTGTGAGCTCACCATCCCTCTGGCTATTGAGAATTTCCTCAGGGAGTCTTTGGGGCAGACCCCAGCCATCCCCGTGGAAATCCTGGAGCTGGAGAAGAAGCTGAGCGAGCCGGTGAGAGTGCACAATGATGACAAACTCCGCAGGCAGAAGCTGAAGCAGCAGACTAGGGGACAAGGGAAGAGCCAAGTGCGTCCTCCGGAAGCCTCGGAAGAGTCAGACTCCGCATCCCAGAGTCTGGAACTGAAAGTGGCTTTCTCCAAGCTCACTGTGCAGGAGGGGCCAGCTGCTACCAACAGGGAGCCTTCCCACATCCGGAAAGCCAAAGCCACTGAGCTTCCTCCTCTGGAGCATGTATTTGCAGAAGGGCTTTTCTTCACCTTGGCAGATATCGTGCTCCTGCCCTGTATCCACCACTTTCTGGTAAGGTTACGCTTGGAGTGCGATTACCACCGTGTGTTTCCATCAGTGAAATTGCTTAGGTTTGAATTCCAATCCTACTTCTTTCTTTTATGCTTCTGGGCAAATTATTAATATCTGTCTTCATTTTCTTTTCTGCAAAGTAGAGACGATGCTGCTTCTCTGCTCTAGTTTCCATCTCGAATATTCCCCGAAGACTCTTGTATTGAAGGCTTGGGCCTCAGCCTGTGTTGCAGTAGGGAGGTGGGGGGACTTCTGGAGGTGAGGCCTAGCTGAAGGAAGTCAGGTCACTAGGGGCCTTGAAGATACTGTGGGGACATTGACCCCTTTTGCTTCCGGGTCATCACCAAGTGAACAGGTTTCCTCCACCTCATGCTCCTGCCATGATGTTACTGTGCTCCCAGTTGACCGTGGACTGAAACCTTGAAACTTGAGCCAAAATGAGCCATTTCCTTTATTAAACTGATTTTCTCAGACATTTTGTTATAGCGATGGAAAGCTGACTCTAATGTGCTAAGTGAAAGGAACAAAAGATGATTATATGATTTTTAATTTTTTTATAAGAAAGGATGTAATTATGTCAAACATTAAACAAATATACATTAAAACAGCCACAAACCAGTTTTAGTTAACTTGGCAAGTATTAAGTGGGCAGATAGTAAACAGCACTGGTAAAGATATGGATAAAGAACAACTAATTCACTATTTGAATATAAAAATATTGTATGCCTTCTCAGAAGGTAAACTATTTTTTAGTTTAAATGTGCACATGCTCTTTTATTCAGAAATTCTGCTTTAGGTAACCATCCTAAAAGAATGTATGTCCTTAAGTACTCAAAGGTAACAGTTCAGCTGAGGATTTAGCTCAGTGGTTCCGAAGCCTGCCTCACAAGCTCAAGGACCCGAGTTCGATCCCTGGTCCCAAAAAAAAAAAAAGGGATAACAGTTCAGGTATGTTCACAAAACTACTGTTGTTTTTAACAGTAAAAATCATGGGAGAATAACACTATCCAATTGAAAACCACCCCACATATCATGGAAAGAGCTTCTAGACAAATTATATTAAATATTTAGTGTGATATAATTTATGTGAATATAATTATAAATATAAGTATGCATTGTTTTCAATGCATGATAACCCAGGAAAATTATGGTGTGGCTACACATGCAACTGTTTAATAGTGCCTATATATGAGAAGAACATGTTGAAAGGTATATGGGTAAGAGGCAATGTGTTTAAGATAGAAAGCCAACTGTAAACTTTTTAAATCTTTTACAATCAGGATGCAAAATAGACACTTTCTTTTTCATTCATTCACTCATTCATTCACTCATTCATTCATTCATTCATTCATGGTGGTACTGGGGATTGAACCCAGGGCCTTCACACTGAGCTACATCTCCAGCCTTTCTTAAAAACGTTTATTTTGAGAAAGGATCTCAGTTGCTCAGTTACCCAGGGAGGCTCAAACTTGCAGTCCTTCTACTTTAGCCTTCCAGAGTGCTGGTAGACAATTTCTTGAACAAAGAAAAGAGTATATAAAAAACTAAAATCCAGTAAGTAGCAACACAGGTACATGGTACATGGTTTGGATACAGACAGCTGGGTATCCATGTTCACTCTTAAGTATGAACTTTATACTGTGTCTTATCATGGGTGAGATCAACCTGTGAGAAAATAGTATCAGGAAAATGGCAAAGTAATATGTTCAAGTCTTTCTGGCTACTTTCATAGAAATGGAACTATTCCATCTGTCTAGCTTGTACTCAAAGCCAAAAAATGGTTTTGTTTTAGAGTTCTAGTCTTATTTGTTACTGCTAAGTTCCTTTAGTTATTAGTCCCCGTACTTGTTCTTTGCTTTTGAACTTGGTGCAAGAACTGCTTCACAACGATGGAGGTCCTTTGAACTTCTGCGGGTTCAGTCTGCTCTTCGGTTTAGGTGGTTACTGTTACAACATACTGACAGCCATCATGATTCCCTTCGGTACCTCCTTCCTTGAGCTGCCTTTACATGGCAGGTATCGTGGGTATCTCTTGTTGCCCTTTAATGCAGCACAAATCTTCATTATTTTACACTTCTTGACCCTTTATCAAGCCTGTTTTAAGACCTGCCTCTTCCTAGCTCTTTGGTTCCACTTTTCCATCTTCTTTCTCTGAAGTTTAATTTCTGGAAGGGGCCACCCCCTCTATACTGGGGCCTAATCCTTTAAACAAGGAACAAGGCCCTTCTTTTTCCAGGATTGCTTTTAGGCAATGGAGGGGTCCAGGAGACCCGACTTGGTTAACGCTGGCTCCAGCCACAGTGTTCAGCTGAACTTCAGAGACATAAAGCGTCACAAGATGACTGCAGCCGTGGTTTGCACCTTCCAGTGGACAGGTCAGAATCGTTCCCACTGTGGCCCCCCCATCCCCCGGCACACAAGTGCACCGGCGTGAACCTCCGGCGAACACGGTCCCGGAGGGAGACGGACAGGGATGGCCGGGACGCACGCGGCTGCCCAGGGCAACCCTGCGCCTTCCCCGCCGCCAGGCGCGCACGCTAGGCGCTCTCCTGCGGATATGTGACTTTTAATGTTGAGAGGCTAAAATGTTAGCGGTTCTGTGGTTGTTTCAATTGCTTTTGCGATTGCCTTCTAATGTAAGAGGGCTCAGAATTAAAGAAAAAGACAACCCTAAAAACTAAAAGACTATCTTGTCAGTGATATTTTATAGTCACCTAAAATACTAATTCCTTTATGGTAGGTACTATCAGCCAGATAGGTTCTGTCCCCTCCTGTGTGTGCACCAGTTTTCTATATGATTAAAAGCTATTCTCTGCTATGGGAGAATGTAGATGGAAGGTTTCTTTCCTATTAGGGAGAGCTATCTGTATTTATCTCTGTATATATATTTTATCCTGTGTGGAGAAAAAAAGAATAGAGTGAAAATAGTACAGCATGCTACAGCCTTTTGGTTGGTTTCCAAGAGCTGCATTTTTCTTGCTTTGAAGCATTTCACCCTTTCTCCTACCAAGATGTCAGATACCAGATTTTATTCTCATTGTGGACATGGCTACATCAGGCGTCTCTACTGACAGATGGGAAAAGACGTAGAGGGCAAACCTATATATTTGGAGGCCAGTACTTCACTAATGAATTAGGCAGTGTGGATCAATTGCCATTTCTTAAACCCCCCTTTTTTTTTCTTCAAAACTGAAAACAAGACTAGCAGAATAATTTCAGAATTCAACAATGTGAAAAAAGAGGGAGATTAGGAACTGTTTAGATGTCTGGTGTCTTATGTGTTCAGTGTCCACAGAGCGGAGTGGGGAGAACACATTGATAGTTTTTCATAGTCAAGTGATTTGTAGATCCTGTTATCCCTGACTCTTTCCCTCTGCTACCAACTTCAATCACTAGAGCAGACATCTGGTGCACTGTGAAGTACTTGCTATTCATGACTTCTCTGAATAACTGTTTCTAACTTGGTAAGAATTGAGGCAAAGTGGCACATCTGCTCACTCTTTGGAGAATCTTACTGAAAGCTGTGGTGTATGTCAAGGACTGCATTGCACTAGGTATCCAGTGGTGAACAGGACAGATAAGGTCCCAGCACTCGTGGAGTTAATATTCTAGTAGAGGAAGATAGAAATAAACCAGTAAGTAATATTTACCTACAATAATGTAAGTGCTGAGAAGGAAAAACAAGGGACGGAAGAGACCTGAGTATTTGAAACGCAACAAAGGAGATTTAAAAGACAGACGTAGTCACCTGCATGAAGGTGATTTTAGGTCATCTCCATGGGCATGTTTATTTCATTTTATTTTAGCTGTATTTAAATGCCATTTACCTCTTTAGAAGTAATAGAAGCCAAAGTATTCCTAGTAGACAGGCTTCCTTCCCAAACCCCCTCGTGTCAGGTGTGTCATCTCCTGACTCCTACCTGACTAATCTGGGACAGTGGCACCCCTGGGACCATGCTATGAGCAAACTTTGTTTTCATCTCCATTTTGGGGGGGGCCACTGGGGATCAAACTCAGGTCCTTGCGCTTGTGCAGCAGGGGGCGAAACCACTGAGTTAAATCCCCGGCCCTTCATCTCCATTTAAATAAGGGAAACTTGTGTACTTAGCCTTTTCTGTGCTTTTTGACACTTTATATGTAAATTAATTCTTAAAATAGTTTCCTTTATTCCTTTGTATTTTTCCTGGATCCACACATTTTGTTTCAGGAATTTATCTTTCTTTGCCAAAGCTTTGAAGTTGTTTCTGTTTCCCTCCTGTAAGCCATTCTGGGTCATGTAGCCATCATTTTAGTTCATATAGTGGCTCCGTTGCCAAGCCTTTGCTCTTGTACTAACTAACATACATTGAGGCAAGCGGAGTGCCAGTCCACATGATCAGAATCAGGATCACATTGATGACCATAATGAAGGTACTAACTAGCTTGGGGTCAGAAGCTCTGACCTGAATCCAGGGTCAGGGTTGGTACCAGCCACAAGAATAAGGTCCTGGACGTGAACGAGCAGAAACCATTCTGCTAAGCTAAGGTTTGGATTTTCAGAGGTCAAAACGAGAAGGACTAGGGAAAATACCCAGTTCTGCTAAATCCAGTGAGGCCGGAGACGGAAAGCGGTATCAGATTGAGTGGCTGAGCTGTTGTGTGTGAATCTGTTCCAAGTTTTTAGTAGGTTTGCAGAGCTAATCCCTAATGGCCCAGAACTCGCCTGAGCTGTCTGGATTGTAGTAGAGTGGCCTTGTAGATTGATCAAAATCCATGACCCTTTATGCCAAGTAATACCTAAGTTTTTCTTTTGTTCTCTTTCCTTTTTCTTTTTTCTTTTCTTTTGCTGTGCTGGGATTGAACCCAGAGCCTTGCCCATGCCAGACAAAGGCTCTGCCACTGAGCTACTCCTACAGCCACCCTTAGGAAATAAGTGCATGATGGGTAGTCTGATATTTCCTACTTCTCTTTTTAAAAAAATCCACTGTGGAGAATGCGAAGTATAAATCAGTGTAGTGATA